GACCTAAAGTATATATTATTACTATTGTTAGCTACTTTTAGAATTATGTATTTTTTTCTTTGGTTTGGATGAATCGATATGTTTCTGCTTCTACTGGACACCTACATTTCTCCAATGGGGATCAATAAAGAATCTATCTATATACTACACTATACATACACAATTATATATTTTTGCACTAGAATATACGGTATTGTTCACCAGATTTATACATTTGATTTGTTCTCACACTAGACATTATACTTAATTATTGCTTAATGCGAGGGTTAGGTACATTTGTACTAGCTTCTATGTTATTCAAGAATGAGAGATTTTTTCTTATTTTAGTTTAGAGTTGATGTTCATATATCTTGTGCTGTGTGCTCCTCATTCCTAGTGTTCTGCAACTTGTGAAGCAACAGTGACATTTCCCCCGCTGTGGAAATGATAAAAGATCACTTAAACTTTAAAGTGGAGGTATTTACATGGGCCAAAAAGCTATCAATAAATTCAAAGATTGCTCTGTTGCCGTAAACACAAGACTTGTTTTGTATTTTCAGCCTGAATCCAAAGTCTTTCTTCAAACTGTACATAACTGAAAGCATTTCTCAGCTTCATCTGTGAACGATTAACATAAACCACAGCGAGACAGAAGCAGGAAAACTCCACTTAATGTAATGTAACAGTGACTACACCATCATTAACAAAATGACTACAGACCATGAAGGTCTCAGCAGCTGTTTGGTGAAGTCACTCAGGTCTGAAGTGAAAGAAACGACCAAACATTACACAAGTATAACAGTTTTGCTCTCAAAAAATGACGTCATTGTTTCTATACGAGTGTAAACTGGTGACGAAATGGAATGTGTGGCTGGAGTCAGAACATTTGGAGGAGCTCTGGATACAGTCGCTCCTCCCTTCTCTGTTCATGGGAGCGGTCATTGTTGGCACTTTGGAAAAGGAAAGGTCATGTGTGAGATTTGTACAAGTCCCAAGTCTCTTCAAGATGTCTACCTCATGTCTCTCCATGATGTCTGCTCCTGGTCTCTCCAAGATGTCTGCTCCTGGTCTCTCAAAGATGTCTGCTCCAGGTCTCTCCAAGATGTCTGCTCCAGGTCTTTCCAAGATGTCTGCTCCTGGTCTCTCCAAGATGTCTGCCCTGGTCTCTCCAAGATGTCTGCTCCAGGTCTCTCCAAGATGTCTGCTCCAGGTCTTTCCAAGATGTCTGCTCCTGGTCTCTCCAAGATGTCTGCCCTGGTCTCTCCAAGATGTCTGCTCCAGGTCTTTCCAAGATGTCTGTGTCACTCCCGTATTCGTCCCGGAAACCGGATTCGTCCGGAAGTTCAGTTTGCGCATGTCAAAAAGTTTAATATGTCCTTAAGTTGTGACTGGTGTACTTAACCAGACGCCTGGTTAAGTTTAGGCGTCTGATTAAGATGGTTGAGTTTAGGGTTAAGGCTGGGTTGGGGTTATTTTATGGGAATGGCTGGTTAAGTTTAGGCATGAATATGTAGTTTTTTATATTTACTTCCGCTTCCGTCCAGATTCCGTGACGTAATCTACTGCTGCGTCTGCTCATTGGATCAAACTGAACTTCCGGACGAATCCGGTTTCCGGGACGAATACGGGAGTGACAGTCTGCTCCTGGTCTCTCCAAGATGTCTGCCCTGGTCTCTCCAAGATGTCTGACCCTGGTCTCTCCAAGATGTCTGCTCCTGATCTCTCCAAGATGTCTGCTCCAGGTCTCTCCAAGATGTCTGTTCCTCGTCTCTACAAGATGTCTGCCCTGGTCCCTCCAAGATGTCTGCCCTGGTCTCTCCAAGATGTCTGCTCCAGGTCTCTCCAAGATGTCTGCTCCTGGTCTCTCCAAGATGTCTGCTCCTGGTCTAGATGTCTGACCCTGGTCTCTCCAAGATGTCTGACCCTGGTCTCTCCAAGATGTCTGACCCTGGTCTCTCCAAGATGTCTGACCCTGGTCTCTCCAAGATGTCTGCTCCAGGTCTCTCCAAGATGTCTGCTCCTGGTCTCTACAAGATGTCTGCCCTGGTCTCTCCAAGATGTCTGCTCCAGGTCTTTCCAAGATGTCTCCCCCTGGTCTCTCCAAGATGTCTGACCCTGGTCTCTCCAAGATGTCTGACCCTGGTCTCTCCAAGATGTCTGCCCCTGGTCTCTCCAAGATGTCTGCTCCAGGTCTCTCCAAGATGTCTGCTCCAGGTCTCTCCAAGATGTCTGCCCCTGGTCTCTCCAAGATGTCTGCTCCTGGTCTCTCCAAGATGTCTGCTCCTGGTCTAGATGTCTGACCCTGGTCTCTCCAAGATGTCTGCTCCTGGTCCCTCCAAGATGTCTGCCCAGGTCTCTCCAAGATGTCTGCTCCAGGTCTCTCCAAGATGTCTGCTCCTGGTCTCTCCAAGATGTCTGCTCCTGGTCTAGATGTCTGACCCTGGTCTCTCCAAGATGTCTGACCCTGGTCTCTCCAAGATGTCTGCCCCTGGTCTCTCCAAGATGTCTGCTCCTGGTCTCT